AAGCTTTTGCAATCGAATACCCAGAGTTCAGTCTACTGTGACAATTTTCCTACGTTTGATGCTGTGTCACCGAAATGTGAGTTTCTTTTCTATCCAAACGCAACGTGCATAAAAAGAATGCCACGTCCGGCGTGACGGTGAGATTTAGACTTATAATATGACAAGCCAGTGTATCGCATTAGCAAGTCAGAAAATCTGGTGGAATCGTCCAAACAAGCTTCGGTCTGAAACACGAGGGGTCGAGTATAAGAAGCACACTCGGGCTCTTAACTTTTCTCAAGATAGTTTCCCCGGAGAACATCACGTGTGACAATGAATTGAAAGTAATAAAATTTCATTTATAGACGTAGTACACTACTCATAAGTCTGCTGTAAATCCTTCGACAGCGCACAACCGGCTTCGCCCTTTTCGGGCGAAGTCCTCAGGTTCCCATCAACCTTATGTTCTACTTGAACCCAAACTGAAGGAAATTAGCGAAATGCACTCGTTTGAAATCAAATTATGTCTCTTGGGATACTTATCAGGAACTCAACTGAATCTCTCGTTTACTATGTTTCCGAGCAAGCTTATGAGTAATATGTTACGTCTATACGTGTATCGCGATATCTCGAATATCGTACCAACTGAAAAATCAGGCGGCCTACTTGTTCTCAAATGAGTTTACTTCGCTAATAGGATTTCAGTTATTATGTCAACGTACTCAATCTGTTTCCTGTCTACTTATTCCTAGGGTTTTAATACAGGGGCACTTGGTAGTGAACGTTGCACATAAGTGCATTGTGAGATGGAACCAGAGAGGCATCGTCTGCATTGTAAACAGCAAACAAAAAGTAATAAGTTTTTGTTTATCATAATATGGGTAGTCCATTACTGTACTAAACAACGGGAAAAAAGAGTTGGCATAGCATTTCCAACATTAATTATGCAAACACAACATGTGGTTTCGCCTTCACCGAATCAACAACGCCACAGTTTCGTGCATTATCTACATGTTGGTCAATGAACTGTTTCACCTTTCGTTCACAATAATTATCCGTTGACTTGTTGAATCTCCGGAAGATTTATTTCTCTGAAGAACTGTTCCACTGTGAGTAATAGGTTGGTCAAATAGCCGGCGGAATGCATAAAAAACGGAATCCGATCTCGGGATACGACCGTAACTAAAATATTCTGTGTTGGTGAACTAAGACAACTGAGAAGAGTGAAATACCGTGACAACACGGACAGGAATGTAAAGCTGATATTTATTCGCCACATCCGAGGGAGGTTAAACGTTTTTCTTGTGTCATCTAAAATTTTCCGATTCTCCACTTGTAGTCGGACTTCCACAGCAGTGCGCCAGTCAGTAAGAAGCAACAACACAAGGATAGTCAGATGACGGAACATGTGCACCACAGCTAAACTGGTCAACAAGAGGTCTCGTTTCGTGACAGAACAAGACAGAACAAGTTACAGGTCTGAAGTCTGTTGCACGGATCTGGCACTCTTCAGATGAGGGAATCCACAGCGGAGCATTCCTGAGAACGAGACTCAGATAGATGGA